CGTCTGTTCTCCTATAAGAAGGATTTTTTTATTTATTAAAACAGTCTTTTTAGAGTTACACTATGTTTAAATTAATTATGAACACCTTCAGTGAAAGTTAACCCGTTAATGCATTATTGAATGTAAGATATATTATTATTAAATTTATGGGAACTAAAAATACCATAATATATGTATATATTTTTATAAATTGTGTTATAATTATATAATACTATTATAAATAATGATTATTATTCCAGTAAAACCGACAAGATCAGACTCAAATACTGGTTGTTATAAAGATTATATACTTGTATTTAAGCGGTTAACAACACAACAACAGTAATAAATTATAATTACTCATTTTCCTTCAGCTTAGTCCCTTTATTAATCAGAGGTGGCCACAGTGGAATGAACCGCCAACATCCAGCATATGTTTTAAACAGTGGATGCCCTCCTAACTGCAACCAAGTACTGGCAAACATCCATAAACACTCATACACTACGGCCAATTTAGTGTATTCCATTAACTTGTGACTTGTGTCATATCTTTAAACTGTGGGGGAAACTGTAGAAAACTCACACCAACATGGGGAGAACGTGCAAACTCCACACAGAAATGCCAACTGACCCAGCTGGGTCTCGAACCAGCGACCTTTTTGCTGTGAGTCAATAGCGCTAACCACTGAGCCACCATTTACTAATTTTCTTATCGGCTTAGTCCCTTTATTAATCTGGGGTCACCACAGCAGAATGAACCACCAACTTATCCAGCAAGTTTTACGCAGTGGATGCCCTTCCAGCTGCAATTGATCACAAATGGAAACATCCATACACTTTTTTCACACACAAACACCACGGACAATTTACCTTACTCAATTCACCTATAGTGCATGTCTTTGGACTGTGGGGGAAACCGGAGTACCCAAAGGAAACCCACGTGATCACGGAGAGAACATGCAAACTCCACACAATAATGCCAACTGACCCAGCTAGGATTCGAAACAGCAACCTTCTTGCTGTGAGGCAATAGTGCTAACCACTGAGCCACCATGTCGCCCATAATTCATATTACTACAATATATATTATATATTGTAATTTAAATATAGATGTAATATATATTTCCCGTACAAAATTATAAATATTGTCAAATTTTGATATTCTCAAAATAAATGCATAAAAACATAATAAACAATATAATTCCTGTTGCTCAAATAAGATAACTTTGCTGCAATGTTGGATGTAAAAATAATCACTCATCAAAGCAACAACAATAATAATATTAATAATAAATCATAATAATACATCTTAAAATATGATATACAATTTATTAATTTAAATATTATAATTTATTTACATTCTTATGAAAATATTAAATAGCATTAAAATGTAAATAATGTAAAATATTTATTTTCTAAAATATAAAATACAATATTTAACTATTATAAATTTTCTTTTCCTGCATTTCCCTGATTTTCCAGCACAAATCTCTGCATGTAAATCCTCTGTGACTTACCCATGGTGAGGTGTTGGGGAGCAGGTGAACGCAGCTCGAGGTGTCTGCTGAGACTGAAGGCTAGCGCTCTCTCAGCCCGTGTTTTACCTCGTCTCCTGCATACTCTGAACTTTGGACCTCAGTTTTTACAGTCATGACGGTGTGAGGCGAAGGCTGAGGAAAAAGCTACGTGATGAGATATGGTCTTTCCCAGCAATGATTCAGACAGTAGTCAAAATGGCATGATGCCAGGAATCAGGCAGTTAATACTGTCCCATATCATGCCACTTGTTCATTTACTGATTCATTGAACACTCACTTAGCGATATTGTCTGAAATACGATGTCAGACAGTATTTACCCAGGCTTTATATACAAATATTTCAAATTTGTGAGCATCCATTCTCTTGATGATTTTATAGTCATCAGATATAAAATATGTATGGTTATATGACTGTTAACAGGTTATGTAACTATCCAAAAGTAAAGCTGAGGAGGATTATAAAAGCACGATTATAAATTCCAGTGAACTGAAGCGGTTGCTTACATTACATTACATAAAAATCAAGAAAAGCCAAAAGGAAGATCCTGTGTGATTTCCTTGGACTTACAGTTGAAGTCAAAATTATTAGCCCCCCTTTTAATTTTTTTTTCTTTTTTAAATATTTCCCAAATTATGTTTAACAAGGCAAGGAAATTTTCACAGTATGTCTGATGATATTTTTTTTTTCTGGGGAAAGTCTTATTTGTTTTATTTTACCTGGAATAAAAGCAGTTTTAATTTTTAAAAAAACTCTTTTAAGGTCAAAATCATTAGCCTCTTTAAGCTATGTTTTTTCCATAGTCTACAGAATAAACCATGGTTATACAATAACTCGCCTAATTACCCTAACCTGCCTAGTTAACCCAATTAACCTAGTTAAGCCTTTACATGTCACTTTAAGCTGTATAGAAGTGTCCTGAAAATATCTAGTGAAATATTATTTACTGTCATCATGGCAAAGATAAAATAAATCAGTTATTAGAGATGAGTTATTAAAACTATTATGTTTAGTGATGTGTTGAAGAAATCGTCTCTCCGTTAAACAGAAATTGGGGAAAAAATAAACAGGGGGGCTAATAATTCTGACTTCAGCTGTATTTGAAATAAGTTGCTTATGACACGTAGTGTTAATCACTGGTTTGACCTTTTTGGGGACAGTGATGATTACTCACATTGCCTAAGCAACAGTTGTTGGCATGAACTTTATCCCAGTAACATAATGCTGCTTCACACCCTGAAACTCCATAGTGATGAGAAAGAAAGAGCAGGAATCTATATTTAATATTCAAGCTTGTATTAAATCTTTAAAAAAATTTCCTTATAGTCTTCTGGCACCCAGCAGTATGTAGTTTTACATGTTGACCTAAAATGATTTCATTACAAATAAAACATAAAAAACTTTATTGTCCAATAAAACGGGGAATGTTAACTGAGGTAGCAAACCGCTAACTTGAAACAGAAAATTTAAACGAGACAAAATTTTTAAAACTGAAGTGTTATGGACATTTTGTGTTCTTGTTTTACATAGTGGAGATTAAAATTAGAGAACAATTTATGAACACTTGCTTTTTTCAGAAAAACCGTAACCTTCTTTCAAAATTTTAAGTCCCATGCTATTAGAACAGTGTTTTACTAAACAACCAAGGCACTTCAACAAAAAACCAAGGCACTTTGTGAAAAACAGAATTAGAAAGGAACAAATGATGTAAAATCTCTTATACTTAATATTTCCTTTGCTAGCTGTTTCTATGGCTACACTCATTAGTTAACTGTGTTCACATGTATTTGGCTTGCTTTCTTATTTACTCGTGTATTTAAGCCCTTAGTTTGGTTCTTTCATTTGGGTTTGCATATCAAGCAGTTACTTTGATGCTTACCTTCTGGATTACCTTTATATTTATTTATTTTTTTCTGCTGCTAATTTAGGGCTGGGTAGATCGATCCTTAAGTATCGATATTTTCCATACGTGAAAATATTTTTTATTCCTTCTATATCGATCCTTTATACGTTTTATTTTTCTTAAATAAATGGTTGCTGATTTTAGAATATCTTAATAAATATTTACTTTAATAAGAACTGGAATGAGAACTATAACATTACTCGGCTGTATCTCTGTTAATGGGTCAGTTTTACTCCATAGACTGTAAAAAATAAGGTTTGCTCACAGCTACACCCTTTCAAAACATAGTGCACAGCACACACACAAAGCAGCAGGTTTTCAACTTGAGCATGGAGTCATCATGACTGAACGAAAAAGATGCTTAATCTGGAGTTATTTTGCTCCAGTTAATAATGACAGGCTGTGTGACACTTGTCACAAAACAGTACACCACTGATCAGTCAAAGAATAACAGGCTCAAAAGGAGAGTCAGCAGCCATTTGTTTCATTAAATAAAAATGTTAATGGGATTAAATGTAATTTTAAAAAATGAAACAAGGTTTGTGCGATGTGTAATATTTAGTTTTATATGGTTTTATATAGCCATTTGTTGTGTAATTAATAGTGTTCTCTAATTTTAATAAATGTAAAAAGAAATTATGTCTGTTGTATTTTCTTTATTAATAATACTGATGGTGATTAAAAAACATAAAATACTATAAAATAATAATTGTAGTATCAATATTGATGATACTTGTCTTAAAATACTTGAAAGAACCATCGCCATCCTCAACTGAGACCCTCAGATCCTCTTTTCTTGCCTACATGTTGATTTTTGGTCAAAATAAAATAAAAATATAGTTAATAATAGTTACTTTAAGATGATGTAATTTGAATTGCAATTACGTAAAATCCTTTTCCTAACATTCCAGTTTAAGTTCCACAAACTACATAGGAATTCAGGTTAATTACTTTAACTGAAAGTGAATGTATAGCTGCAAATTTGCTTGTCACACCCAAAGTTTCACACTGTAATCACACAGCAAACATCAGCTACAAGAAAAAAAAAGTAGGTGAACATTTTCTGAAACCATGTGATAACTGTGTTCTACCTCCTCCAAATCCAAAGTTCAGATTCATAAAAGAGAAAATGAATAGAAATAAATAAATGAACCAAGCTTTGCAGATCTCAATTCAATATTTCAAAATTCTCAGTAGACAGAAGGTTTCACTTATATAGTAGAAATACTGTGTTGTCATAACCCAACATTGGGGCAAATAATGACACACCCAATGTTGGGTTCATTTTTTCAAATTATTAAAATTTCTCATTTTAACTCAACAAATAGGATTTGGCCATATTTGACCCAATGTTGGGTAATGATAAACCAACATTTATGTAGAGTATATGTGTTTATCTGCTTAAATCCTCAGTTGTTAAGCTGTTAATCCTTGTAAGAGTTGATATGAGTTAATGTAAACCATGGTAACATGCCCTGAATGCTAATGACCCTTAACGGCGCTTACATAACTTTGCTGTCATCTTATCAGCCATAAAGGGAATTCCAGCCCATTAGCACGACTTCACACCTGAGAAACAGTGTTTTTGCTGTTGTTGCATTTGCATTTTAATTTCCATGCTGCAGTTACATACACAAAATGAGTACAAAATGAGAAAAAAAGCCATTTCACAGAGATTGTGAAATAGTAAATTGGCTTGAAAGTGGTTACATTATTCTGTTTTTAAGTAGAAATGGCATCTACTCAAGGGTTTGCGTTCATTAAGCCTGCAACATAACAGTAGATTTGACCCTCTCAATCAAAAAAGGGGGAAATTATTATTAAAAGCTCTTTAAAATTAGCATTGACCAATATAAACACCCTCTAAAAGCCGTACAAACGCGGTACCAAACAAATAGTAAAGCCTCTCTTACTCATATCCATTATTACTGCAAACCTCCATGAATGATTTGTTTTACAACTGTACATTTGTTTATTACGCAATATATCAATGGCCTTATTGAAGTAAATTACAGTTTTTTGACAACTGGTTGAGTGCAGTTTATTATCTGATCATGCAGTGAAATGAGGTTTAATTCCAGCTTTGGAAAAACTGTTTAAAGATAACAGTTTCTCTGCCCTGTGGTAAAATCTCCACCTAGAAGACAAAAAGAAACAGATCATGAGGGGTCCAATTAATATATATTTATATTTTTCAATATTTTTGAATAAGTGTTTTAAATGACCAAGTCCAAACCAATAACTACATAAGATAACCACTGGCAGCTGCTTGTGGGCATGCATGTAGGGGTCGTAAACACACACAAAAAAGATATTTGTACAAACACCAACCTGTGTTTTCATCTTTGGGTAATTCATTTGCTGGATGAAGTCATCTGCCATTTTTAAAGCAACCCTCTTCTCTTCTGCGTTGGCTCCACTTCCTGAGAATTGCAGAAAATAGCATAGCAGCTGTATTATGTGTATACATATATATTTGCCCCCGTTTATTTTTTCCCCTATTTCTGTTTAACAAAGACTTTTTCTTCAACACATTTCTAAACATAATAGTTTAAATAACTAATTTCTAATAACTGATTTATTTTATATTTGTCATGATGACAGTAAACTAATAATTTATATAGGGAAGCGTGGGGCACAAAGTAACAAGGGGTAAAATGTAACAGAGTTTTAAGGTATTTGCTCAGGGTTAACCATGACATGCTTTTAAAGTTTTCACCACAGTGTAGGCAGACGTCTTCCTGCCAATTACTGAAAAAGTTCAGTGAAATTTGGATGAGAAACACAGGAGAAACCATTTCGCAACATAAAAGTATTTTTATTATACGCTATAATTTTTTTTTTTAATCTGTGAAAGTATGTAAACAAAATCTTATATTGATGTGATTACCGTCTTCTAGGCTAAAATATTTTTGAGGAAAACACAATACAGCAGGGTTATTTGTAACAGGGTGTAACAAATAAACCACACACTGTTGGACACCAATTAAATGAACAAAATAATAAAAAAAAATTTAAGTGTAATGCTCAGAACTTTTTAAATACAAAATGTTTTTTAATAGAATTTTTTTTTTTAATAGAAAAACATATTTTTATTGCTAATAATACAAATAAATGCATTGCATAACAATGAATACAAACGCAAATAAATCCAAATGTGTTTATCGAATAGATAAATAAACATGCTGTGCTGTGTAGAATAAAAAAATGAGTTAAATACTGAGGTAATATACTATTTAAAGTAAACTGAATTTAAATTAATTGTGTGAAATCTGACTTCATCAGCATGTTATAACTAACCCCTTTAATGAATCCCTCAATGAAACTGAAACCTTTCTGAAACCTAATTCAGGCTAGCATAGTGTAAAACATGCTAGCAACATAATGTAATATATTAGCTGTATGCTAGCATGTTTATTCACATTAGTAGCGTGGTAAATCATGCAAGCAGTGTTACAGATGTTAAAAATATGCTAAATCTTTCCATATTTCCAAGTACTGTATAAACTTAATTTTTAAAATCAGGCAAAGCTTTTTTAAGGCAACATAAAGTTTGTCCCAAAACACTTTACTATCTGGTTGTTATTATCGCGGTTGAAAACAAATGTGCTGGTCAATATTTTTGTGAAAACTGATAATTATTTCCCATGATTCTTTGAGGAACCATTTATTTAAAATAAGAATGCTTTCTTACATTATAAATGCCTTTAGTATTGTTTAATGCATCCTTGATTGATAAGATGATAAGTCTTATTTTTTCAATTTTACTGTCCTCTATTTTGACATACACCATTTTTCTTACCTTTCCAAACAAAGATTTTTCCGTTGGCCCCATTGTCCAGGATAAAGCAGTCATCACGCACCAGCAAGTCCTTGGCAAATGGACTTTTCTCTGACACCTTGGTCAACTTCATTGACCCTGTGGCATCTGAAACCTAGAAAAGTTGATGAAAAATGAATATGATTCCTAATTCAATGGATCATTCCACATCTAATGTTATAAACAAAGTTTCCACAGTTTATATTAATATTTATATGTTATATTTTACAGTTTATATCGTCACCTTGGAATTATAAGATTCTATCTGATATTTTTGTCAAAATTGAGTTACTGACATATCCTTATTAATTGACAACGTATTTACATTATGGGATGTTTTTTATAAGTTGTTTACATTTTAAGACTTTTTATTTACAAAAACCAAATGTTACACACATACTGTTTGCTATGGAATGTAAAAACTTTGAAGCTCAATATCTCAAAATCATTCAGAACGCAGATAGAACCTTATGATTCCAAGGTGATGACATGCATAAAACATGAGAGAGTTAGGGTACCTTGTAAAGGGAGGCTGAATTTGATGCATCTGCTTTGCTGTCCTCCTCTGGAGTGCTTTCTTTCAGCTCTGGCACTGGACCAAGAACCTGTTCAATACAACAAAAGATAGAGAAGATGAGAGCAGTGCTCATCTAAACCCATTCCTGGCAGCAATGTAGTGGAAATAGTAAGTAATCGGATGTAAGCTGAAACTGTACAAATTCGTATTGCGTTTCAACATGAATAAAAGCAAGTGTTTATAATCAGTGTTTTTAGCTGACCTACTGGTCTGACCTAGAAAACTTGACAAATGTTGTTCTGATCTATCTACAATTTACCAATGTTGGTTCGAATCAGTCAGATAACATGGAGTAGAATAAGCAGGGTTACATTGGTGCCATGACCCACGTGGGATGAATCAACGGTAGAAACTGAATGAGTAAGCCTCACTTCTCTGACCTCAAATGGGACATCTGTGATGCTAAAACACATTCCATGACAAAAACGCCAGTTCAATACCCACTTAGTATGGGGCAAGTAAAACCAGAGACTTGAAAGGATCATAAAACCTTGGACTAAATTTTGAGTATGTTGAACATAAATTAAGACAACATTTGCATCTGTTGGTATTAATTGTAGGGAATGACTGGCTTATTCTCAGCTTTCCCAATCCCCTTTTTCATCTTCCATGTTTAAAATCTATATGATGAATCACTTGTAATGTAGCATAGTACCAACTTCTACAAGTCTGTACTGAAACTTATAAAAATGTGGTACACTTAAATGGAAAAAGAATTTAAAGTGGTGCCGTGACCCATGTGAGATTAAGTGCATCACAGGCCAGCTAATATATTCTTTATGTAAACCTGAAAAGGGGCATCAGCACGTGATGCTAAAGGTTACATCTTTGTTTGTGTGCTGCCTGCCATGTCAGAAATGACATGTTGCTCCAGGTCTGTTTGGCTGCATGTTTCAGACAATAAATCAACAAATAGAGGGCATTTTGTATAGTTTGGTGAATCTGAAATATGTTACTTAGGATATGTTGTGTTACACGTTTCAGATACATGTCCTTCTTGTACACATCCAAGAAAACTATGGTTCACCAGACTCCAACCTTATTATGAAAACTAACAAAAAGTGGTTGTCAAGGTGCTTCAGCATTGGCCAGCCCAGTCACCAGACATTAACATTATTGAGCATGTTTGGGGTAAGATAAAGAAAAAGGCATTGAAGATGAATCCAAAGAATCTTGATGACCTTCTGTAAGAACACTCCATTTCAGATGACTTTACTAATATGTTATTTAAGTTATTGCAGAGATGTATAGATGCAATCCTGCAAGCTCGTGGTAGTCATACACAATATTAATTATTTTTCCACTGCACCATGACTTTATATTCTATACTGTCCATTATTTCTGTTAAGTGACAAGACTTTTGTCTAAGCAAGTTCAGACCTTACTGTCCTAATTGAATAATTAAAAATCACGGCATGATTTTATGTTATACCAATTGATTCTAATACCAAATGATCAACTAGAAGTCAAGTTATTATTTATTGTTCCTAAAGCTTGGATACAAGACAAGACTTTGGTCAGGTAGTGTACAACCGAATGGGTTGCATTGGTCCTGTGACTAAGTTTTCTTGGGTAAGTGTAACGAAGACTAGCTAGAAAGAGGTGTACAGGTTAATTTCACCCCCCTGGCCTCAAGAGTAATACCTGTGACTAAAGCTAGAGACTGTGGTTAGCATCCATTCAATCCCACTTAGTAGTGGGCGAGTGGAATCAGGAAAGTTAAAGTGGTGCCATGACCCGGATGGAGATAACAGAGATGTGTAATTTTGTATAGGGATAAAGGTTAGGGTCATTAGTACTCATAAATGTTTTGAAAGGTGCAAATAATACAAATCATATGATCATTTGATAAGTATTTAAACTGAAGCTAACAAATGTGTGTAGATTTTACAAAATCAGACCTTAAAAAAGTGAGACCTTACATACTGATATGAATCAGTCACTAAATCAACACCAGAAAAATCGGTATGAAACACCACAAGTGTTTCAACCACACCATGAGCTAGCTCTGTTTGTTGTTTCCTTTTGATACCTTAACAAACACATGAACATAGAAACTGTGACGCATGATATCAAAAGAATATACTAACAGGAAGCTAGAGAAAGTTAAATACTTGTTACCTTCAGCATTTCCTGTGTCTCCTCTCCCTCATTAACATTGGTGATCTGAGCTTTGCCGTGTCTGTCTGTATCTCTGATGAGAGAGGCGATCTCTCTCACCTTCTGCTTCTCGAAGATGTTTGCCTGAGATCCAATCCATGACACAATCGTCTGGAGAATAAAAAAAGTTTCAGGCTTTTTATATTGGCCTTCTGCACTTCATGATCTTTTACTGTATGATGTAAAGCAATTGTTTAAATTCTGTAGGAGTAGTGTGATGGCATTTATTCCTATATAAATAAATATTGAAACAAACAACACACACAGACCTCGCCCAGATCAAGTATGAAGCAGTCGCCCTTGTTAAAACTCTGCCAGCTCAAATCTACTTCCTTTGCCCTGATGTTGCGTTTCCCTTTGATTTGGTATAACCTCTGAACAGGTCCAGGTCCAGACTGCGCTCTTCTGAAGCCAGACTCCACTCCTCCCTCCTGCACAAACAGAACAGCAATGAAGGTGCATGAAACATAAACACTCTTTAAATGAATTAAAGAGATAGTTCACCTAAAACTAAAAATTCTGTCATCATTTATTCACCCTGTATTTGTTCCAAACCAGTTAGACTTTCTTTCTCCTCTTGGACACAAAAGAAGATATTTAGGAGAAAGCTTGAAACCTGTAAGCCTTGAGTTCCATCGTATTAGTTTTTCCGACTATGAATGTCAAAGGTTACAGGTTTTCATCTTCCTTAAAAATATCTTCTTTTGTGTTCAAGAGGAGAAAGAAATTAATAAAGGTGTATAACCAATTGAGTTTCAGGAAATAGTGTGTGAAGTGAAATGTTTTACTTAAGGAGTTATTACTTTAATCATGCAAATAAGTGCCACTGTAATTGTGAGTATAATACAGATTAGAATGTAGGTTATCAGATCATTTTTATTGTTTTTTAAAATATAAAGAAGTATCTGATAAAAAAAACATGTTTTGAATTTATATTGGTTTGAAACATGCTATTTGTTTCTGTGGTGGCATTATTCCAGTTCAGATAATATCCTAATATGATGATTTGCTGCTCAAGAAATATTTCTTAATTTAATAAATTTAATAAACTAATCTTTTTTAAATGCTGGTTAATGTTTTTGTGGAAACAAAGATACACTTTTGATCAAAGCTTTGAGGACAGTAAAACAAAACAAAACAAAAAAAAATAATACTTTAATTCAGCAATATTTTGAAATTGGTTGATAAACAACAATTATAATGTTAAAATATCTATTATAAATGTTGTTCTTACAAACTTTTTATTGATCAAAGAATAAATGACTGTACTTTCTCACCTTATAACTGACTCCTCGAGGGAAGAGTTTCATGAATTCTGGAGACTCGTAACCCTGAACCTGCCTGTGCTGGACTGGATCTCCACCCAGGAAATTATCCAGTTGTGTGGCCAACATGGCGCAAGCCACCTGCTCGTCACGCGACGATTTCTCTCCTGAAAGAGGAAGACAGAAAATCCACATGTATTTAATCCTTTTAAAACTACTTGCACAATTCAGTTTACAAACGTTTGGGATCAGTTCGAAGTTGGGAATCCTTTTAAAAACATTTTTGCTGACCAAGGGTTAGAATATTAAAAATACAACTGTAAAATTGTGACATATTATTACAATTAACTTTACATTTTTAAGCTGAATATCAAGATCCTTATTCCAGTCTTTGGTGTCACACAATCCATCCGAAATCATTACATCAGTTACTTAAGAAACATTTATTATAATTATTGAAGGAGTGGGTATCTGGATCAAGACCAGAATTGGCAAATATCCTTTCTGTGAGATGATTACTAAATAAGTTAAATTTGAGTTTAAGGGTCTAGATCAGAGATGCCCAAACTAGGGCCTGCAGGAAAAAGTTGACCCATGGTAACCTTTGATTTAGCCCACCATTCCATCTGAGATGAGATAGAGAATGATGGGGAGGGTTGAGATTGTCAATTTAAACTTAATATAACTCTTTTTGTTTGTTTGTTTGTTTTATTTTTAAAAGCTAACTGAAATTAAATGTTTCAATTAAATGGTGTAAATTAATCAGATTTTGTTTAAAGTTGTGCATACTGTCACTAAAAATGCAGAGACTTTGGTGAGCAAATCAAGTCAAAGTCAGATTCTGCTTGACTAGTGTTCAGCGTTGAACTCCACTGTTATAAATGTGATTGTTTATGTTTTTTATTGCAACAAGGTGTAACTTAATAGTGATAGTGCATTAGTAAATACAATTTAAAATACTGTTTTCTATTTATTTTGAAATATTAGGAAATAAATGAAGAAATTACCCATGGCAACTTTAATGTAATATAGTTTGGTATATTTATCTTCGGCCCACTGCTCGCAATGATTTTTGACTCATCATGTTTGGGCATCATGTTTTTGGCTCATCATGTTTGGGCACCCTTAGTCTAGATTATATGTGATGACCTAAATGTAATACCGTTTTTAAAGTAACAGCCTGTCCTAACAACAAGTGATGTGAAACCACGACATGTGATAAATGCTATCTGTTCCATGTAAAAAGAGTTTTTGTCCTATCCATTTGCGAGAACATTTATTTTTTAGCAGAACAAGCATCCGACAAAGATCACCTCAGGTACAGATTTTGTGCTTTATTTGTGTTAAATGTTACAAATGTGAGTTTAAATACAATTTCATGCGACACTTTATTGCCATACTACTGAAAGCAGCAGCAGACAGTTCACATCAGATCTTGAAAGTAAAATAACTAGCATAAGGTTTGAAAATGAAAGTCAGATCTGTGACTCAGTGCAAAAACATCAGTCACTCAGTAGCCTATTATACATGTTAAAGAGGTTTAATATGTGTCATTTTTTTTAAAAGCATTTATAATTTAATTGGGAGTGCAGCGGCTGTTATTTAAATGTTTCTGTTGCTGTTTTTGTAATGTTTTGCATCACATTTGCTGCAGAAAGCCTAAATGCTTGTCATTTTTGTCAAATTGCTTGTGTACATTTGATGCTATTTGGACAGCTGTCACTAGATGTGAATTTTATTGCATTTATTAAAGAATAAATGCTTTTAATATTCTATTGTATGAGCAAGACCTTCTATGTATTAGTTAGCTGCCAGCAGAAAGATGTTTATTACCATTCTGATAAGATTCCTGCTAGAGGTAGATAAGCATTCTTTGCGTTTGTGTTCTTCATAGGTGGAGACTAGAAGACTGAAGTTGAATTGCCTCCTGTTTGCTTGACGCTTACATAATCATTGGAGATTTTGTTCTAAATTGTATGCTCACACATGGATATTTTCTAAGTTTATCTATGTTTTCACCAGTAAGGTTGTATGAAGCTCTATTATTATCTATCGCTGACTGTATGACGCAGTTAATGCGTTATGTGAGAATATAATTGTGTGATTTGAGATTATAAGCAGATTGGCCTGCAACTCTGTGCAAGTGTTGACGCAGGCGTCTGCATATAAAAATGCAAACTATGTTCAGTAAACATTCATTGATTGATTTAATCTCTGATTTCTTCACTAGGGTCTTCTTCATCTGACTCATTTTTCATTTTGATTTTAAACAGTTTTTTCCCTAACATTATTATTCATTTATTCATTTTCTTTTCGGCTTAGACCCTTTATTAATCTGGGGTTGCCACAGTGGAATGAGCCGCCAACTTATTTAGCAAGTTTTTACGTAGCGGATGTCGTTCCAGCCGCAACCCATCTCTGGGAAACATCCATCCACACACACACTCATACACTACGGACAATTTAGCCTAACCAATTCACCAATACCGCATGTCTTTGGATTGTGGGGGAAACTGAAGCACCCGGAGAAAACAAACGTGAACGCAGGGAGAACATGCAAACTCCACACAGAAATGCCAACTGACCCAGCCGAGGTTCGAACCAACGACCGAGCAACCTTCTTGCTGTGAGGCGACAGCACTACCTACTGAGCCACTGAGTTAATGAGTACCATTAAAATTGTATTTACTTAGATTAATTAAGGATGCATTATATGCTTAAAAAAGATTAAAGTAATTTTCGATGTAAAATAAAAGGTTTTATTGAAGTTTAGTTTCATCAAAGTGTCTTAAGTAAAATCTTAACAAAACTATGAAGCAGAAAAAAACATGTTTATAATTAAATGACTCATTATAAATAATAACAAAAGCTGTACTAATGCTAAAACAAATCAGCTTTGAGTCACATCAACAAGTTAAAAGTTAATAATATTTCACAATTTTATTGTTGGACAACACCGTGGCTCAGTGGTTAGCACTGTTGCCTCACAGAAAGAAGGTCACTGTTTGGAGTCTCAGCTGGGCCAGTTAACATTTCTGTGTGGAGTTTGCATGTTCTCCCTGTGTTGGCGTGGGTTTCCTCCGAGTGCTCCGTCTTCCCTCACAGTCCATGTGAATAAACTAACTTGGCCGTAGTTTATGCGTGTGAATGAGATGAGTGAGTATGGATGTTTCCTAGTACTGGGTTGCAGCTGAAAGGGTATCCGCTGTGTAAAACATATGCTGGATTAGTTTGTAGTTCATTCCGCTTTGGCAACCGCTGATGAATAAAAGGACTAAGCCGAAGGAAAATTAATGAATGAATCAATTTTACTGTCCTTGTGCTAATGCAGCTTTAGTGAGCAACATTGGCTAACCCCCAAAATGTTTACCGGTAGTACGCTTTCACTTACATACCCAGAAAAAGTCAAAAATGCTGTGTGTGTTAACACTCGTGCCATTTTGCAATGATACCTACTCAACCACTTCCTCTGCCTGCAGACTCTGAGCTGCTGTTTTCTGCTGTGGTAAAGCAAAGGCAGAGCTGTTTTTCCAAAATGCAAAGCAGTTTATGGTAGAATTATGCAATTATTTACAGTTTATTTAAGTTATTTTGGCTTATAACTATTTTGGCAGAAAGAAAAACAAGATCAAGTGATTCTATTGTGCAACAATGATCTTGTTGTGTCTTGTGCAAGTACCGTCCTTTCTTTTACTCAACTTTCATTAGGTAATGCATATGCCTTATGATGTATTAGATTTTATTTCTAAAATAAAAGTTTTTTATTTTATGCATTTAGAAGATTTATATTTTATATTGTTTTGTACTGTATACTGTATATACACATCTTGTCGTCTACCCAAGTTTTACGAGCAACAAATAATAATTTGACTTCTAGTTGATAATTTGGTATCAGAAGTGGTTTGTATGAAAGGCAAAGGCCTCTAGATTATGCTTATTTTACCAAAATATGATCATGCCTTGATTTCTAATTATTTAATTAAAACAATAAGGTCTGACTTTGTTGAGTCAAAAGTCTTGTCACTAAACAGAAATTATGTACAGTATAGAATATGAAGTCATGGTGCAGTTGAAAAAGAATTAATATTGTGTATGAGTTCCAGGGGCTTGGAGGACTGCATCCATACATCTCTGCAACGACTTAAATAACTTATTAATAAAGTCTTTTTGAATGGCAAAGAAAGCGTTCTTGCAGGTCTCCTATCAGATCTCCATAAAGATTCTTTGGATTAATCTTCAATGCCTCCTCCTTCATTTTACCCCAGACATGCTCAATAATGGTCATGTATGGTGACTTAGCTGGCCAATCCTGAAGCACCTTAAACGTTTTTGCTGTCGGGAACTTTGATGTGGAGGCTGAAGTAGAAGAAAGAGCGCTCTCCTGCTGAACAAATTTCCCTCTCCTGTGGTTTATAATGTAATGGGCAGCACAAATATCTTGATACCTCAGGCTGTTGTTGTTGCCATCCACTCTGCAGATCTCTCGCACGCCCCCATACTGAATGTAACCCCAAACCATGATTTTTCCTTCACCAAACTTGACTGATTTCTGTGAGAATCGTGGGTCCATGCGGATTCCAATAGGTCTTCTGCAGTATTTGTGATGATTGGGATGCAGTTCAACAGATAATTCCTCAGAAAATTTACCTTCTGCTACTTTTCCAAACGAACAACTAGAAATCAAGTTATTATTTGTTGCTCTTACACAACTGTGATTGACGACAAGACTTTTGTATAGTGTACATTCAGCAGGTAAATTAAGTATTGAACATGTCATGATTTTTCCTGGTAAATATAATTCCAAAGATGCAGTTGACATGAAAATGACCAAGAGTTTGGTAGAAATCCATAAAAAACAAATAAAACTAAACAAAACAAAATAAAATAAAAAAAAGAGTTATACTGTATTTATTAACATTGGAATGACACAAGGAGAACGTACTAAACTACAAAATTGTATTTAATAATTAATAATTGTTAATAATTAATAATAATTAATAATAATTGTAATAATTATATTTAATAATTTGTATAAAAGGCTTTTTGTAATGACAGCTTCAAGACGCCTCTTATATGGAGAATGGAGTTGCATGCATTGCTCAGGTGTGATTTTTTTAGTCTAAAAAATCTTCACGGTTCTGGAGGTCTCATCTATAACATCTGATCTTTACTTCTTATTTTCTGTTGAATTCAGGTCAGATGACTGTCTGGGTCATTCTGTTTTTTTTTTTTTTTTCTGAGAGCAGTCAAGTGTTTCCTTGGCTGTGTTTGGGGCCTTTGTGTTGCTGTAATGTCCACCCTGGTTTCATCTTCGTCCTCCTGGCAATGTCAATTTTGGGACTGAAGCAGCTAATATTCATTATTTTACACTGCTGAACAATGGAGAGATTATAAGCTGCTGTCTGGGCTTTCCATGCCTTTTTATGCCTCCCTTTCTTCATGTAATACTTTTTCCTGGTGTCATTACATTTTACTACACATAAATTAATTTCTAATTTGTTTTGTTCACTTTGTATGTATGAATTATGTTGGCTGTTATTTTGGATGTGTCATCTGGTAAAAATTTCAAGTCAACAGCACCTTTAAAAACATGTTTTCTGAGCAAAATGCTGATATGTTTAATACCTTCAATACGCACTGTTACATATGAATCTTTACTCTTAATTTTTCAATTGAATAATCCTTCAATAACTTAAACAAAAAAATAAAAATTAAAAGGTTAAAGCTTTTCCTTATGGCATGGATTAAACCTTACAAAATAAATGCTTTCAGTAAATCATTTACTTCAATAAACACATGATGTTTCCAAAGTTTCAATTTGTGTGCTGAAAATGAAAGCTCAGATATCGTGCAAGAGACAAAAAAAATGCTTGTTTCAAGGTTCAAGGAGCTTAAAAAAAGTATTTAATATAGAATATTTACTTTATATTGTTACTACATTTTTATACTACATATTTAAGCATTTGTTTGATGTTTTCCAAGCTTAAATGTGCATATATACTTTTATATTTATGCAAAATGCAAGTCTAAGTTACAGTAAAGCAATAATAAATTCAAATGAATAGTCAGTGTTTTGGTCTTTGCCATAACAGAGCATCTTGACTTTTATGACAGTCAGAAAAAAAAAATTAATAACATTTTTTTTTATTAAATTGAAGTCACAATACAGACCATTTCAATGTGGCAATGTCCATGGCCTATAAACATTTCCTGCTTGTTGTTAAACTATTCCATAACTGTAACAAGAGGCAATTCAACCATAACAACGTTAAAAGAGCTATTGTAACATTATTTATCAATATGTGGATCTTTTTGGATTCTTGAGAGCTGTGGAAATTACAAATGTAATACAGGAAATACATTAGGACCACTATTATTGTTTACATCCCTAAAAAATGGTCTATACACCATCATCTTTTAAAATGTTAGATTTGATGAATAGCTGCACTGATGGCTTACCAGTATCTACAATAGGAGACTCATTATGAAAGAATAATATGGTGGGAGTTGTTTGAAGAGTGTATGGATGAGGACTGCTCAGCAAAAAGGTACAGGGGAAGATGCTTCATCAAGCTGACAACCAGCTTAGTGTTACCCAAAGCACTGGATACCCCATAAGACAATAGACCAAACTGAAGTCCTGTCACAAGCCTGCTCAAACATTCATGAGCTATGAAAACACCAGGCCATGGCTGTTTCCCTTGGGATCGTTCCCTCTTCATCCCCCTCTGTGCTCCATCAGCCGATAATTTAGAGCAGGTCAGGCTCACTTCACTGTCTGATCAAGCATATCACTAAATTCAAAAGGCCATTGAGGAGCTCAAATATCCTGACGTAACTGAATGACTGACCCTGAGACCCTCACATGTCAACACTCTGGTGGAGTGTTAATTAATAATTCATTAATATTAATAATAAATTAATATTTCTTAATAGTTTTTAACTAATATATTGTTTAATTGTAGTCTGGAATTGTAAAAAGTGTAGCTTTTTAATTAACACATTTTACCCATTAAAATGAAATGTCAAAATATACGGGAAATAATGTTCCATTTTCATTCAGTGTAACCAACATATTTATTTATATTATACAGATTTTATTTTGAATAATGTATTATTATTATAATTAATATTATTATTATTATTAGTAGTAGTAGTAGTAGTAGTATTAATTTATTTTTATTTTGTTTCTATATTCTTTTGATTGGGGATGGGGTGGTGGGAGATATTCGGGATGTAAAATGTTTGCTGTGTTAACATAAGTATAATATACTGTGTAACATGTTGTAATATGCAAACTAATAAACATATTGCAAAAAAAATTATGTATTTTTTCTTGCTGACAAATGTGGCAAAGTGTTGTGGCTTTAAGGGTAGAGCCGCATATAAAGTGTAAGGAACAGAAATAATATTTTAGTTCATATTTTTAATCTCTGCAGTGATCTTTTAATAAATGATTCTTGTGGTAAATATGCCTGCCGTGAATTTTTGTATAAGGTACAAAGAGAAAAATACACAAAAATAGCAATAGGTTATCCAAAAGCTACATGAAGGAGATAATAAAAGATCAAATTTGGAACAGCAAAAGAAAAATGAGCGGAACAATTCAACACCCATAATTCACTTTTGATTTTGGCATTGGCCTTTCATTACCTGTGGCATGAGTAACATTGACAATGAGAATAAAACTGTCCATTCACATATATGACCATCCCAATATAAACAACAACATAAACAATGTAAAGCCAGTACACATCTTTAAATGTATTCTTCTGTAAATATTAATTAGTAAAAAAAAAGTCATGGTTATGAGAGGATAGAGCTTCTTTAAAGAGGTAGTTCACCCAGAAATTAAAGATCTGTCATCATTCCTCATTCTCCACTTGTTCCAAACCTGTTTAAGTTTTTCCTTAACTGAACAAAGGATATACTGAAGACCATTGGGGAAAAAACTGCCACTTACTTCCATAGAATTTTTTCTTCTTACAATAGATGTCAATAAACACTGTAAAAAATGCTGCCCCAATGTTGTCCCAACACAAATCGGATAAGTTAACTATTAACAATTAAGTGGATTGAACACAAAACAATTAAATTTCACCCCAAAAAGCTCAAGAATTGGGTTGTTTCAACTCATTTTAAATAAGTAGCTTGAACAAGCAGCAAAAGTTTTTTTGAATGTAGCTGCTATTTTTCAACATTCTTCAGATTTTGTTTTGAGAAATAAAGAAGTCAGAAATGCATAAAACCTTAGAACTATCCATTTAAGCTTTTGAACATAGTCCATCTATTCAGTTTCTTTAAAAGTTGCAAGACTGAAAGTGACTAAAAAAAACGAATCTCACCGATCCACATGTGTAGGTCTGCTCCCTGATCTCCCCTGTTATCCAGCACCAGGTATGAGTCTCCGTTGAAGAAAGCCCCCACTTCAGCTTGATTCAGAGGAACAGCCTTCATTTTCTCCACTCTCCAGCAATAAAGTCCTGGCTGACGAACCTCATCGCCAAACTGTCCTGGAGCCGCCTGAAATGGTTGCATTCTGGAGGAACAAAGATGAGATGGTAAAAAGGTGAATGGCTAATGCAAATGCCTTTGAAATGATTTGAAACGTTTCCCATCCCTGTTTCTAGAGTACCACGCTGTTGAATGCCCTATTAAATGGATGAGGGAATCAGAAGAGTGAACTAATGAACAATTATCGGAAGCAATTTTTAGATACATTTCTTTGTACTTTTATCCGAACTGATTTTTCAATTCAATAGAGTAATAAAAAATGCATACGGGTAGCTTTCAGTAATCTCCCCTGCAATTATATTATATAGCAATCAATTATATATGCCAGTCAGATAACAAAAGTCTTGAACTGATAGCGCTGTTGACAATTAGCAAGAGGAGTTGCAATGGAGATGCCATCACTCTAGAAATTAAATGACATGATTTTAGCATGACAGGTTTTTAGCTCTTTTTTAAAGGTTTTTTTCTATAAAAGATGAGGCTGGCATTCAGGGTTTTTTTTATTTTTATTAATATGTTGTGTTAAATATAGTAGAGCAAAAAAGCTGTATGTCAGCTAGTGAGAAGAAAAATGTGCCATATGAAATACATATCAAAGATTTCTGAACAAAAAACAAATCATATTTGCACAAAATATACCACTAATAATAATGATAATGATAATAATAATAATAATAATAATAATAATAATATGATATGCCAGGAAAGATAAAGGCCATAGGCCAAATAAAAATGAACTGAGCACACACCCTATTGCTGTGATTTTTGCTTACTCGTGAATAAATGTGAGTTATTAATAAGTAGGCCAAACATCTTATCAAATGTTTTAAATTGAAGGCAGAAAACATTAGCAATCAATGCTAATATTAGATAGGATATCGTCTTTGATAGGCACAAGTATTTACAACATTAATATTGTTGTCAACGTGAATTGGCATGATACAAATACACCTATAAGTCTGTGACACTGAGAGGAGCTAATCAGATAGTACTATTTATTTTTCTTTGATAAAACAATACAGCAAAAAACAGTAATATTGTAAAATACTGTTACAATGTAAAAAAAATGCTTCATATTTTAATATATTTCATATATTATTATTTTAAAATATAAGTTATTCCAGTGATGTAAAGCTGAATTTTCAGCACCAATGTTAACATGATGCTTCACAAATCATTTTAATTCCCATTATTGGCGCTCAAAAAACAATTATTTTTCATATTATTACCAATTACATTACTCAGAAATCATTGGAAATAGACACTGAAAGAACAGCATTTAATTTATATTAAATGTTTATGTTCAATATCCCCTTTGATCAATTTTATGTAAACTTGCTGATTAGAATTAAGATGAAGTGAAAAAACAATTCTGTGCTAGACATTTGAAGAGTATTTGAAGTACGGTGTAAATTATTTCATATGGCACACAGTGTTTTTCATCACTGTCTTGTCTTCTAGCATTTTCTATATGTTTTACTGAAAAAAAAAGATAAAAAACCGCAACATGCTTCATGATGAAATCCTACTTAGCATTTGACTTCTCTAACTAATCTGCCAACAGAGCTATCAGTTGAAGAGCGTTATCTGATTGGTTCTTTGACCTGTCAGTAACTCGACTGCCAAAACACATGGTCTGAATTCTGCACGTCTGTTTGTTTGGACACAGCGGCACGCAAGAAAACACATGAGGGTCAAAGACATTATGGCACTCGTATCAAATTAAATACACAAATGTGATCATATATGAAGAGAAAGCAGATCAAATGCAAGAAAAGTGTCGACTTGAATGTTTCGAATGTTTCCTAAAACAAATATTAACATGGGTGAAATGTAGTATCATCATTTTGCATAACATTATATATATATATATATATATATATATATATTAATTATTATTAATTATTTTTATTTTAAGACCAATTTATGCCAGATCATCATATCATCAGTCATATTTTATTCTTAAGATTATTTAATTTAATTATAGTCATTTTAACAATTTCACAATTAGGCATTGGAATTAGAATGTGAGAACGTATATATATATATATATATATATATATATATATATATATATATATATATCCTAAACAAGTAAAAAATAATATATGTTAATCAAAAAGTGCAAGGTAAAAAGTAACAGAGGCTGTGGTATCTGCTACCAGATCTATTTTCATTTATCAGACACTCATATGAAAATATACTTTTTGCAGTAAATAAATATAGTAAATATAGTATGTAGCAAGTTTTTATGACACTGACACCTCCAACAGAGAGGTTGTGCAATCAGCTAAAATGTTGCTAGAATTGTTTTTTATGTATAAGCGATATATTGCATCACCAAAAATGTCATCCTTTAAACTGAATCTTTTAATATGCATCAAATAATTATTTATTTAAATATGTTTCACAAGATTTTTTGAATGAACAAAAATGCTGTTTGTTCAAAGGTTTTTGGTGGGACTTTATTATTTATGTTTAATCAACTTAAATTTGTAAAAACTAATAAGTTACTAAAACTTAATTCTTAATAAGTTAACTTTATGTCCCAACACAAATCAATTGTGTGGACAAATTTTGTAGTGCATATGACTCTGGAATACTATATATATATATATATATATATATATATATATATATATATATATATATATATATATATTTAAAAAAATATCTACTATACACACACACAGACACACACACACACACACACACACACACACACACACACACACACACACACACACACACACAGTTGAAGTCAGAACTTCTGTTTTTATCTTATTTGTTTATCTTAATTTTATCAACATATTTCTAAACATGATATATCTTTAATAACTAATTTATAATAACTGATTTATTTCATCTTTGCCATTATGACAGTAAATAATCTTTGACTAGATATTTTTCAAGATACTTCTATACAGCTTAAAGTGACATTTAAAAAATATATAGAAAAAAAAATATTGCTTAATAATTTTGACTTTAAATTGGTGTTAAAAAATTTAAAACTGCTTTTATTCTAGCAGAAAAAAAAACTAATAAGACTTTCTCTAGAAGAAAAAAATATTATCAAACATACTGTGAAAATTTCTTTGCTCTGTTAAACATCATTTAGAAAATATTTTTAAAAAGAAAAAAAATTCAAAAGGGTTTAATAATTCTGACTTTAAAAAAAAGTATCCCAAATTAAGCGTTTAGCAATGCATATTTCTAATCAAAAATGTAGTTTTGATATATTTATAGAATGACATTTACAAAATATGTTCATAAAAGATGACTTTTACTGAATATTCGAATTATGTTTGGCATACAAGAAAAATCTATCATTTGGACCAATACAATGTACTTCCCATACAATGCTACTGCCAAAATATTCCCAAGCAACACAAGGTTTTGTGTTTCAGGGTCACATAAACTATTGTTGCACTGAATGTGTGACTTTCATTTGGCCTTTTCTGTGGTATCCATGGTAAAAATGCATGATAACCCTTTTTTCTCAAAGAAAATAAACAAACATTCCACTTTAGTATGCATATTGAGGGGGGGAAATGGAAATATATGAAAATAAACATATGACCCATATATTACAACATTCTGCTGCTAGTAAAAAAACTCAAGTCAATAAGGAAATGCCAGCCTTCAGGGTGTGTTTGGAGTTTACCTAATGCTTCTTCCTGATTTCCTTCTATGCCACTGTTGTAACAGTCTTATGCATATTCTTATATTTTGCTGTTTGTTTGTTTACATATTAAAAAATGTGACCAATACATCAGAACACCAAGAAACCAAACAAAATAATTCATAGTTAATATTAGATAGGATATGCTCCTTGATATGCATTTGTGTTTACCAGATAAATATTGATATATAAATGAACAGGCCTGCTTAAAATAAATCAATCAGTCTAATTAGGCTCTTGTTGTAATGGTGTGACACTGAGAGGAGCCGAACAGAGCTGCATTACTTCACTCTCATTACTGTCACTGCATTACTGTAAAGAGGCCTTTAGAGGCCCATGTTATCTTATATCACTCCGATACATGTCATACAGAGAGCGAGACATGTCCAGTTTCACTGTGCCAACAAAAATGCAGATTCATTGTTTGGTAACAGTTGTGAACACAAACTGCTGGCCGTGATAGAGCTGAATTGTGCTGCTCCTCCCTTTTTATCTGTTCATTTAGTCACTGCTAAGCATTACGTTTCATAAAATGTAAGGAAACCCTATTGAGGAACAACCCCCTCATAAAAATGATTCATTTTTAGCTACTCCTTGACTTTATGATACTAATTTATCACTGCTTTTTAATGACATACAGACTATTTTAAAAATCCACTTGTTAGTAGCTATAATTTCTAGAAAAAATAGGTGATGTAACGAGTTGTAAAACATTTACAGAGTTAAGAAAACACAAGCTAGATTGTTTGTTTCAGTCATAAACAGTCATCAAAATCTCTTTAGAATGATAGAGTAAAGATTTTCTTCCATAAGAGCCATGTTACAACACAGTTCTTTAAAAAATGAAAGTCAATCCATCAGTTAATTTTGTTCCAAATCTGTATGAGATTCGTTATTCTGTTCACCACAAAAGAGCATACTTTAAAGCAGTGTTTCTCAACTGGTGGGTCGCGACCTTTCAGTGGGTCGCGATGTGTGGTCAAACAAACAACAAAAGCTAAATTATTTATTTTGACGTATATTTTGAAATGCGTGCATGACAACCCAACCGTTTGACATATGAAATTTCATTTAATTAGCAACAAATAAGTAAAAGCGCAAGTACGACCCCCAATATGTAAAGTATGGATTTACATATATTGACAACAAAAAAAAGACTTAAAGCCTTAGTGTGTCATAATTAGTGAGGTGCTCTCACAAGAGAGCACGAAATCTTCTAAATTAAAACGACATTTAGAAACTAGACAGCATGTTTTATTAACAGTTCAGTTCACGGTAACTAACCCTTCCTTTACCCTAACCACACTTTACAGTATTTGTCACTTTTACTCTGTAATTTGATA